CCCACAATTAAAGGCAGCTGCAGATTCCCAGAGTTGTTTTTCACATCTGCACAGGCCTGGGGAGGGTTCATGTCCAGCACTWTGGGGCTGCAGATTGAAAAGGGAACTGTACCCTCAGCCACTTCCCTTCAAACAGATAAACCCAAACAAAATCAAAACCAAAACAAAACAAACAAAAAAAAACCCCAACACAGATCTACCCTGCAGAATGCAGCATCAGCAGCTCACAATTCCTGTGARAAACTGCAGTTATGTAAGAGGAAACAACAACAAAAATCCCCAAACTCAGCACAGCATGGGGGGAAAGAGGATGGGTTTGTTCATTCCAGACAGAGAAGCAGAGAAAATGAAAGAGTCTGAAATGAGTGAGATAATCATCTATACCTATGTAATACATGTTTCATAGAGAGATATGGTCACTGCTGAGAAATTTTAATTTAAGGGTATTTACAGAACCTTCTGCATGCAGTGGAGTTGACAATTGCTGATTTCATGGGAGATCTTTCTTGATTCTTGCTGAATTTAACTAAAACAAACTCCTGTGTGCTGGCCTTTCTCAAATTAGTTGTGGTGTTTAGGTTTAACTATATTCATGCTACTATCTAAAATTTTGGCCTTCTTGCTATTATCCATGTAATTAAACAGGGTTAATTAAAAATTTTTGCAGGGCCTTATTGAAACTGTTACCTACAATTTAAGCAGTCACTGATTTAAAAAGAAAAAAGAAAAAGAAATTACCACTGAAATACTTCATTAGAGCCCTGAGTAAAGCAAGTTGGCAGAGTTTGCAGCTTGACCTTTCCTAACCTCCCAGCAGAAGATGTTGGTTGCATCCTGAGGAGTCACATTCCAGAAGAGCTTTCTCTGTAACCTTTTGTCAAAAGTCTGACACATTGTGAAATGTTAGAAAGTGAAATGCATTATTTTTTTTTAAATCAAATGTCCTGTTTSATATCTGCCCCAACATTATGATTAAAGATCCTTTCACATTCAAAACCTGAATATTTTACTTTGCTTCAGAATTCTTTTTTTCACCCAAATGGTGCCTGAGATGAAAAACTCTTTTAATTGCACRATATTTAGGAAAAACCCACTGTAATTCAGAGGCTCTGTAAAGATATTTATTATCTTTTCAGGATTAGTGCACATACCATATCCTTCAGAACCAGGTTAATTAAAAAACATTGCAGAATAACACCATCCCCCCAACATATAATACAGAATTAGACTTTTTATTCTGTAGACTCCTGTTACTCTGCCTATAAAGAATACAAGCAATCAAGAAAAGTGTAATCCAGCAAAATTAGTGATTAGATTTCAGYAAACATCTGAAAGTGTGGCCAATGTCCATATGTGTGGCCTGGCTCCAGYTGAGTCCAGAAAATCATCAACATGAGCTTCCCACTCTTCCTTCTCCAGAACCTTGGCAGGTGCATTCCTTCCAGCAGAATAAACTGTTTGRTCAAAGGACATTTTTAATCCTCGGAAAACCTGCTGGACACGAGTGGGACTCAGATACTGAGGGACTGTGGCAGATTCTGTTCAGCTCTCAGCACTCAGCAGCGTTGGGGTTTTTGCTGCAAACGATGCCCAGGGAAGGAAACACGAGAAGAAACGTTCCCCTTGCTCAGGATCCTCACACTGACAGGCACAGGGCACGAGGAAAGCACAGAAAAATGTCTCTTGCTGTAAATTCTCTCATTCCCTTCCCCTGATGGTGCACTGAGGAGCATCTCCCCCTTTACACATTAATGTTTGCAGCTCCACTATCACCCTCCAGTTCCAGCCCTGACCACTGCAGGTGCTCAGCTAAATAAACACTCTCACCATTGGCACCTTGTTCTGGCCAAAGAAAACGCTGTGAGGACTTCAGGCGCAGTGCAGTTACACAAATCAAATTGACAGCACCAGAAATGGGATTTAACGAGATTAATGCAAAATAACATGAACAAAACATGGAACACAATGCAGAGTGCATCCCATAAAACAGGGACACAGCAATCTGCTGTGATCCTGCCTTAAACAGCAGTGCAGCTCCTTGCTGCACTTCCCTCCCTCTGAGAGGCACTGACAATCCTCCAGACAGACSCCTCAGCACCCATCCTGCACACAGAGCGGGGAAAGGACAACAAAAACAAAAACCTCCAACTGCACACAGAGGGGAAAGAAAGAGAGCTGCTCCTACAAGAGAAATGGAAGAAATACTGATGGCACAACAAAAAGAAACGGGGCAATTATTTATCAAGACGCTGAACAGAGCCTTTTGAATGAACCTTTAAAACCAGAGGGTTCCCCTGTGGAGGGAGAGTTCTGCTCCTTCACCTCCAGCAGTGGGACACATTCCTGGTCCCAAAGGCAAACACAGCCCCTGCAGCTCTGGGATCAGAGCTCTGAGTGCCAGGGATGCTGTGTCAATGTTCAGGCTGCACACCCATCTCCTGATATCAGAGCTGTCAGTGCCAGGGGTGTTGTGCCCATCTCACAGTGCTGAGTCAATGTTCAGGCTGCACAACCATCTCCTGATCAGAGCTCTGAGTGTCAGGGGTGCTGTGCCCATCTCACGGTGCTGTACACCCATCTCCTGATATCAGAGCTGTCAGTGCCAGGGGTGCTGTGCCCATCTCACGGTGCTGAGTCAATGTTCAGGCTGCACACCCATCTCCTGGTCAGGTAACAGCCCGAGGCTGACACTCCTCTGGGCTCCAGGTAGGCACAGCTCCCAGAGCCTTTCACTGCAAACCTGCAGGACAAGGAGAGACAGACACAGTGAGCCCCAACAAAGATTGCTGCACCTTTCTGGTGTGGCTGAAGGTGAAACACACCCTTAGGGCAGATATGAAACCCCAGTGAGCCCTTCTCAGGGATGCTGTGACACCACCCTGCACTTCCACATCCTCCCAGAGAGACAAAAGGCTCCAGCATTTGTGAAACAAAAGTTTCTGTCATTTGTGTCTCCTCAGAGCCCACCAGCTCCGGGGTTAAAGGGGTGGGGGGCAGCAGGAAGCAAACCTCAGCTTCCCTAAATAAGGTCCCTAAATAAGAGGTAAGGGACCCCTGCAGCAGCTCTGCTTTAAACAAAGGGCTGTGGAGTTCTGTGGATGGAACAACCCAGAATGGACTCTGGAAAGGGCAAGGGACAAATCCCCAGCAGGGTCAAACACCTGAGCTTGGACATGAAGGGTTTGCCCTTCTGCAAACAGGAGKGGMAGYTGGAGCCAAGAACTGCAGAAATCTGAGAATGGGAAGAACATTGGAAATGAAAGCATCAGTGGGTGTTTGTGCTGCAAACRTGGGATAAAAGAGTGGGAAGGGCTGCAGTTTTCAATCTGAGGTGCCAGCATGCTCCTCACATCTCACAYTAAATGTGTTTGTCAGAGCAAGCCCCCTCAGGGCCTGGGGATGAATGAATTTAGTCACACATCACCACTAATGKCACAGACTTGCAGGTATTTAAATTTTGCACGTTTTAAGTTCATTTCATGTTTGTGCAGTCTCAGTGCTGATTCCTACCCCTGGTAATTCCAGCTCCAGGATGGGCACAGCAGGAGGGGCTCTGAGGAGTTGGGACAGGGACAGGAACAAAGTGTCCCCACCTGGCCCTGGTGGCACAGAAAACAAGGCCATGGCCACGGAGCATCCATGAAACACAAATCCACAGCTTCACCTTCCCCTCCACAGCCTGTTTCGGAGGAATATCCTATGAAAATGAAAATATGTGACAGCAGTCTGCCAAATCTCTGCTATGAACCTCACAGGTCACATGCAGGTTTGTACTTTTGCCAAATATATTCCATAATGATGAGTTTATGTTTTTGACATCCTCCCTTTGGTCTCCTGGTTTRGCTTTCACTTTGCTCCACTCTGGTACCATGAGCCTATCTCACATTGCAGCTCAGCATTCCAAATGTATCCCCAAACTTTCATCTGCCACAGTTTAAACAATGCCATGAGAAATCTTTACTGCAYTCCACGCTTTCTCCATGATCACCCCTTGCACGGAATGGCAGATATTTCCTGCAGGTCACTGTCTGTATCTGTATTAATTACCTTTTCTTACTCCCCTATAACTGAGCACCACCAACAAAACCCCTCCACATCAACTCACAGCTCATGGTCCARTGCTTTTCCATCCACCCAAAAGAACTCTTCATTTCTCTTGTACAGTCCAATCCATGGGTCCTGCTTTGTTATCTTCATCATAAAGTTCTGTRGGAATAAACCCAGAGGAGAAAAGAAGTTCTGAAGTTCTGCATGTTCAGCCCAGCTATCAAAAGACAAAATCTTTGATCCAGGGTGAGCAAGCAAAGCAACAATCTTGTCTGTCCTGCAGAAGAAACCTAAATATTGAAACCTAAATGCACAGACTGGTGACTGGGATGGGGTTGGCTGACCTAGAGAGGCTGCTTTAAAATATCCAGCTATGGCACAGATAGAGAATATATTCTCCTAGGCCTTTGTGCAGGCCAGAATTTCTTAATATTGTGGTATAATATAGAAAAAAATGCTCCAAGCTGCACTTTGGATAAYGATCTCCTAACATCAGAGGTCACAATTAACATATTTACCAATTCCTCTGTCAGAAACCTCAGTAAGAGAAAATAGTGGTTTAATTGAAGATAAATGAGATCCAATGGTATTACCCTGATAGATTCCTTCAAAATGAGTATTTATAGCTGTGAGCAGCACCAAATTTAATTCAGATAAACCCTCGGACATTTTCTAAAACATCAACTGACAAAACGAGTGTTTCCCACTCTCAGGGAGAAGAGGCACTGAGTGTGACTCTATGCTCTTACAGATTCCTCACTGCTCAGGTTCCTCACTGCTCAGATTCCTCACTGCTCAGGTTCCTCACTGACCAGACTGAAGTTATTCCCTGGATGTGCTGGGGTGCAGCACGTCCCCGCTGTGTCCCTTACCAGTTCCTGCAGATTCTCAATCACCAGCAGGGAAGCGTTGTGGGACGAGCAGAGGCTCTGGCTGGAGTTCCAGGCAGCCTCATTCTCCGACAGGTAATAGCATTTCCTCTGGAAGTACAGCCAGCCTGCAGGACACGGCTCCAGGGGATGACACACTGCAAAGCTTTTGGCTGAAGAAGGATTTACTGGGAAAAGACAAAAATCAATATATCCATTTCTTCCAGCTGGAAAAGGTTTCAGTTTGCTTTCTGACTGCATCATCTAAAACAATCTCAGTCCAACCACAGAATCATTACTTCTGGCCAGCAGAAATAATTATTGTAAACAAATGATAAATTGTGGATCCTGCACCCTTCTGGCCCTTGACACAGCTTTAAAAGGATGACCAGGGCAGGTTGGTAGAAGCAGCCAAGGTGATAATAAAGTATCCCCCAAGGACTCTTCTACCGCTTAAAAATTTCCAACAACTCCAGTTTTTGCATGTRTTGCTTCCTCACAGCTGAATTTATATCTTTGTTTATTACAGTTCATTTTGAAGGGCTGCAGATTGGGAGGACAATCTTCCTGTTGTGATTTGTTTCCTTGAACTTGGATTGAACCAACAGTGATGTTACGAACTCGATGCCAGAAGAACGCTCAAACCAACCCTGACCCAGTGCAGCACTGGAGCTGTGTCTGCAGGACTGAGCCACCATTTCAGACAGCACAGAATCACAGAATSACAGAYTGGCTCGGGCTGAGAGTGCCTTTAGAGCTCTTTTGTTCCTGTCGTGGCCAGGGCTGAGCTTCCACTGTCCCAGGCTGTTCAAATCCCCATCCTGGCCTCGGGCACTGCCAGGGATGGGGAACCCACAGCTTCTCTGGGCACCCTGCACCAGGGCCTCACCACCCAAAACTCTGACTGTGGAACCCAAAACTATGGTAATTTCTATTTTTATTATGTTTTCTTTTAAAATTCCTTACTCACTGAATTGAATACATGAAATCAAAATGACAGCAGCAGCCAGGACTCCAGCGACAGCTCGCCATAGCCAGATGTTTGAGAACAGACCTGAAAATGTAAATGTCAGGAATTACAAAACAAAACCAAAACCAAAACAACAAATCAGAGCCAACTTACAGGGCAGCAGAGCCCAGCTTTGTGGTCTCAAAAAGAAAAGCAGCTCCCTGTGGAAAGCAGGCTGAGAGCAGAGACATTCAGCTTATCTTCTCAAGGCTACTCGGCTTAACAAGAACTCTGAGTTACTGTAAATTCTAATTACATCATYCAGAACTTAAACTAACAGCGAGCTAGCTCCTGACCCTCCAAAGTGATCAAAAGTGAAAGAAAAGAGCAAGGAAAGAAAAACCGACSGTGGATAGCGTTCGATATTGACCCGGTGCCTAAACATGGCGTGGGTAAGAGAAATAAGGAAAGCCGCCAGCTCCCAAAACTTTTCCTGAGAAACAGCCAGAAACAGGCACAGCTTTTCGGTGTCCTTTCCGTCCCCTCCCCGTTCCAGGGCTTTGGAAGCACACACAATTCCGTCCCTGCTCTGTAAGGAGCTGCTCAGGGCTGAGGTGTCCCGGGAGCTCCAGAGGGAGGGTCCCCTCTGTGGGCACTGCGCCCCAGCCCGGGGGTCTCCAGGGCTCCCCATTCCCGGGAATTCTCCCCAGCCCGGGGCTCTCCAGGGCTCCCATTCCCGGGAATTCTCCCCCAGCCCGGGGCTTTGCAGGGCTCCCATTCCCGGGAATTCTCCCCCAGCCCGGGGCTCTCCAGGGCTCCCATTCCCGGGAATTCTCCCCCAGCCCGGGGCTCTCCAGGGCTCCCATTCCCGGGAATTCTCCCCCAGCCCGGGGCTCTCCAGGGCTCCCATTCCCGGGAATTCTCCCCCAGCCCGGGGCTCTCCAGGGCTCCCATTCCCGGGAATTCTCCCCCAGCCCGGGGCTCTCCAGGGCTCCCATTCCCGGGAATTCTCCCCCAGCCCGGGGCTCTCCAGCGCTCCCATCCCGGGAATGCTCTCCCCGCCCGGGGCGATCCCGGGGGCGGCTCCGCGGCTCAGCCCCCGCTCCGGCACCCCCCGGCACCCCCCTGACCCTCGGCACCCTTCGGTACCCCCCGGTTCCCAGCCCGGCCCCTCCGTTCCCCCCCATCACCTTTGCTGCCGGCGGGGCCGTGACCCGCGGAGCTCCCGGGGCTGTGAGTGCCCGTGCCCGCTGTGCCAGCGGCTGTCCCGGGCATGGATGGGCACGGAGAGGGGCTCGGGGCTCGGTGGGAGCTGTCCCGGGCACGGAGCGGAGCTCGGGGGTCGGTGAGAGCTGTCCCAGGTGTGGACCGGGGCTCGGGGGTCTCAGCCCTGTCCCGGGCACAGAGAGGGGCTCGGGGCTCACGGGGCTCGCGCCGGGCGCTGTCACTCCCCAACTCCGGAAAAYAGAGAAATAGGAAACGGGGAGGGTTTCGGGAGAAGTCGGCTCCTACAACATGTCTCTGGGATCGTCTGACATCAGCAAATTCCAGGAACCAACACAAAGGCAGAAGCCTCTGGTTAGGTTTTGGTTTGTTTTGTCTGTTTTGGGATTTGGTTGGTTATTTTGTTTTGTTTTGTTTKGGGGTTTTWAAATTTAATTTWATTTATTTCMTATTATTTGTCGTCTTCTTTTGTATGGAGGAGGAGAGTAAAATTAAGTGTTTAAATGCTGGTTACTTAAAAACTCTGGAAAACATGGCCAGTGGTTTGCTTTCCCTAGAAAAGCACAAAGCCTGATGATTGTGGCTTGCCAGCTGTGGGGGTGAAGGTGCATCAGAAATTGGAGCATTGCTTGGAAAGCAGAACCACACATATCATGGGTTTAATCAGGTGGTTTTGCACAATAACTGCTGGACTTACAACAGAGCTGGGCTGGGCTGTGTGTGCAAACAGCCTGAGGAACACAGGCCTCTGCAAGGCGAGCTGTTGAGGAATTCAGCAATGATTTATCCAAAAGCAGCATCCCTCTGTGCCAGGGCAGAAAACCTCAAACAGAAACCCCAAACAGAAAACCCCAAACAGAAAACCCCAAACAGAAAACCATGGCAATGGGTGTTACACTTCATGCTCTCACTGCTGCCTCCCATTCCTTTCTTTGCCAAGGATTCTGAGCAGTGGGGAGCTGCTGAAAATCATCTCCACGGGTTTTTATTTATGGGTTAAAAAGAGCCATATAAACTTTATACTTCATAAATCTATTTTGAATTGCTGCTGGTTTTAACCTTTGCCTGCAGAAGGTGCTCATTTAAGTAGWGGWCTGGGAGAGCTGGACTGGCCARCATTYCCAGGATGGGCAAAASAAAAGACAAAAGAATGAAGAAGAATAAAAAAAAAATGTGACAAGGCTTAAGGCATGGTGGCTTCAGGGATGTGAGGGAGCTGAGGGTTCCTAGGAGAGGAAAGAGAGCAGAAGCTGGAAACTTTTCCAGAGGTTTTCAAGACCTCTGAGAATCCAGAGCTGCAGAGGATGAAGGGGTGTGGGATTAGGGCAGCGGGGACGTTCAATACCTGTTCTGTGTAGAGCGTGTTTTACACACCAGGAGACAGTGGAACTGTCTAAGAACAGGTAATTTGGTATTTACTCACTGAAGGAGTGGCTTGGGCTCCTCCATTCAGTCCTGTCTGTCACTGAGGTCACRAACAGCGCTGTGGCTTTTAACCACAGACATTCACCAGTGAGCTCTCTCCACGCTCACCCCGAGCACAGAAGGTGTTTCTGGCAGCTGCAGGCGCTGCTCCAGCCTGGCAAAAAACCCTGAGAAACCCTGACACACGCTGGGCTGTGAATCATCTGATTCTCCAAACTGCCACAGTTATTAACCCCAGATGCTCATGACTGACACACTCACCTGCACTTTGGCTAAGAAGCCTCCAGACAATTCCTAAAATTAAAGTTGATAAACAAGACTGGAATTTCTTGAAGGCTAAAGGCAGAAATGCCCTCCAAACTGAATCACTGGAAAATTACTTTAAAATATTGCTATGATGTAGTGAAAGAAAATGCAAGTATTCTAAGGAATAAGCATGGCGTTTTACAGGAAGGGTCTCATAGGACTGACCTGAAAAATCAGAGTTGGATCCTGTGATGCTGCCTCCTGCTTTGTTGATACTCCAAATAATTTCRGATTACCTTTTATCACTCACTGGTGATAGAATCCTGGAATGGTTTGGATTGGAACAGACTTTAGAGACCATCTGAGACCTCTGCCATGGCAGGGACACCTTCCACTGTCCCAGGCTGCTCCAGCCCCAATGTCCAGCCTGGCCTTGGGCACCCAAAGGGATCCAGGGACACCCACACCTCCTCTGGGTGCCCCATGTTGAGTGGGAAAATGATCCTGTCAACAGCTGCAGTTGCAAAATCACTGTCCAAACTGCTGCAAAGCAGCCAGGGAAGCAGATCAAGGGGTCATTTTGGACAGAATGAGCAATAAAATGTTGCTGAAGGTCCCTGAGACAATGTGGATCCAAAGGGAGTAAGGATCCCAAAAATCCACATGCATGGACCAGATCTTCCTGGCTTCTCTTTATCTGACTGCATTTGAGTGCATCAGAATTAAAGATGTAAATTAGGGGGTAAATCTCATAAAGTCCATGTTCTGTTTTGCTCTCTCAGAGTTTCTGTGCTGTCAGAGGGGAGGCTGCTGTTGTGATTTTCCCTGGGATGGCCTGGGGGGCACCCAGACAGCAAGAAAATGGACTGAAATACCTGCACAAGTGTCACTGCTGTGCAAGACTCTTGTGRCTCCCAACTTAAAAACAGACACAGTAATTTTATTTTCCTCTCTTTTCCTTCCATCCCAAGGAGCTCAKAGAAATGGGAGTGGTGTAATCAGAGGTAGAATTCCAGAGTGGGCTGCCTGTCACGGGATTGCTGTGTTCCTGTCGGGGCTGAGGCCACTGCAAACCTTCGTTTGACCACACTACAAACTTCTGAGTCACCAACCAGCACTAAAACCACTTCCCTTCCTSCTCTTTCTCTCCCACAGCGTGYGTTTGCGTCACACACCAACAATTCTCTGCAGAATGCCTGAATCAGTAGCATGAAAGACATCAAACATCCACCCAAGGGTGAAATCCTGGGCACGATTTCCTGTGCTGGAAAGAGAGGTCTGTGCTGGCTGGCACACATGCACCTCGAGCTTTGGACACACCAAGACAGCTTGCAAAGCAATTGCATCTTCCAGGAAAGGTGAGACAAAACCATGCTGAAGGCATTACCCACGTTGTCACATGTTAAAGTGGTTTTCTTTTCTTATTTACTACTAAAATCTTTGGTAATAAATAGTACACAGCCGAGAACTCTGACATGCCAGCTCCTATCTACTGCAATGGTCCCATCTCTTTACAGTTAAAAAAAAACATTTTCTCCTATGAAATTGCCAGGACTCTTTATCCTTTGTATCTGTCTCTCTTGCTCTCTGKTCAATTTTAATTACTACATCCTCTCAAACATGAAGAGTTTGATGGTTTAACTGCAGTTACACAGAAATGACAAATGTYTCTGTGTCCAAGGACAGGGCTTTGAGGCAGCTCTGGGAACACCTTCCAGGCTGTTCCTGCTCACAGGGACAACTGCTCAATATGAGGTTTTTTTTTACTCAAATGATTAAAAACCCTGACGAGGAGCTGTAACTCAGCACAAGGAGCCTGTGAAATGGTTTAGTAATGAAGGGAATTCTCCAAAGCCTGGAGAATGGCAGATGTCCCAGATTCCGTGCTGGGGCAGGCAGCAGCAGGGTGATCCTCTGTAGAGGAGGTTTGCCATGGCACAGCCTGTAAGAGCAGGAGGGTGTGACCTCCTGCATCTTCACAATGTGCAATTCTCTTTGGACAGAGTATTTTATATTTTGGACCAATTCACCCTGGTCAGACTGGGGCCATGGGCTGGTTTTGGTTGGGACAGAGTTCATTCCCTTCAGAGAGCCTGCACAGGCTGTGTTTTGGATTTGTGCTGGAACCAGTGTGGATAACACAGAGATGTTTGAGCTCCTGCTGAGCAGGGCTTGCACAGACCCAAAGTATTTTCTGCTTTTCAGCCTCCTCAAATGGGGGTTGAGATTGGGATAGCAGGGACAGCTGATCCCAACTGGCCAAAAAGAACACACTGAGCTGAGATTTGTTTGTTACTGATATAAAACATCCTGCCAACAAAAGATCAAATGGAATTAGACTGCTGTATTTTATTCTGAGTTTGAGTGTGACCAGAAGAGGTAAGAACTTCCTCCTGAAGGTTATAAAGGGAATGGAGCTGAGTTTCAGCAGCCCAGAGCTCCACTGTCAGAAGAGCAGAGAGGAAGGAAGGGGAAGGGGCAGTGAGAATGGCAGAAAATGTCAAAAACATTTACCTGAACATGCCTGAATCAACCAAACCCAAACTACAGCGAGTCCCTGCTGACCAAGGTAGGTCCAGTGCTGAGCACTGAGCTCTCTTTGCACTCTCCAGTGTCTCCCACGTGCTCTGAGAGAGTTCCTTGGAGCACCAAACCCCCAGGAGCACAGGGCAGGTGAGGGCCAGGCTGGAGCTGTGCAGGTGCCGTGTCCTGGAAGGGCTCTTTCTGTTACAAAGGGCAGTGGTTGTTGTTGTTGTTGTGGTTGTTGTGGTTGTTGTGGTTGTTGTTGTTGTTGTTATTGTTGTTGTTGTTGGAGTTGTTGTTGTTGTTGTTGCTGTTGTTGTTGTTGGTGGTGGTGGTGGTGGTGTCAGGGCTGCGTTTCTCTCACTGAGGTGCAGTGGGAGGCAGTGTCCCTGTGTGATTTAGGAGCAGTTTTATCCGTTTGGAGTCTGTTCAGAGCTGCCATCCCCTGCTCTGGCCCAGGGCTGTTGTCCTGCACAGGCTGGGATTCCTCAGCAATCTGCTCAGGATGGAGGGGCTGCTGCTGCTGCTGCTGTTTGCAGCGGGTCCTGCACAGCTCTGCTGCTCCCTGAGCACAGAGCCATGGCYTGGGGGCTTTTCCTCCTGCTCTGCCTGCACAAACTGCGTGTTTAATGCCCACTCATGGGGGAAATGGCTCATGGGCACCTTTAGTCTGATATGGGATCAAAACCTTTCCTGCCATCCTGAGCTTCTCTTTTGCAGAAAGTGGGAACACTCTGCATCTCTTTTCAGATGGATGGTGTTCCTCGTACCCCAAGACAGAGAGTTTTATTAATCCTTTTAACTGATTTCTTCACAGCTAAATTGACAGGCCACCACAGTACATGCCACCTGATTAAAAGTTCTAATTTTCTTTTAATTTAACGTGTGTATTCCTACTGAATATTTTTATTCACTTTTAATAACTGTGTTTCTCTGCTTATGACATCTGGGGAAACCCCTCTCAACTCTTAATTTCTGCACTCTATTTCCCAGACAGTAGCTCTACCTTACTGGAAAAGGCTGTTTTATTTCTCTTTTCCCCTAGGTTGCTATTTTCTAATTGACAGTGGATCCCCTGGGCTAAGGGCAGTGTTCACAAGGCAGTGACAGTAA